TTTTTTTTTTTTGTGGCTATGAGGGAAAGCAAAATTATCCCGCGTTACAGAATGCTGGACCAAAAGTTCTCACACTTGTCTTTTGACTTTGCTACAATCTGACTGTATAATATTGACCTTTTGATTCAGTGATGTGATTTTTCCTGTAGTATGGAATATGATATGAAATAATTGATGTCTATCATCCAGTCATGCTGTGAGACTTATTTAATGGTTACTGAATACTTTTGAGATACTTGGCTAACAGTCATTCAACAGTAAAATGTGCTATTAAAGCAAATTGTTCATATTAATGGTAAACAGTGCCTGTGCATCAGGAGAGGAGAACTGACCCTCAAATTTTAACCTTGGCAATTCTTTCAGTAAGGCTCTGGACTAGATTTATAAAGGTTTTAAGCATCATCTTAATCAGTATTTTAAGACAGAAGGGATGTATGATTTGGAGACTGATTTGTTTTCATTTCAGAAAGAAAGAGATCTAGAACTCTAATTTCCCAACAYCTGCTGGCTTAAAATATACAAAGAAATGCTGAAATGCCTTTAAACCATCTGGTCCAGTATTAGCTGCTAAGCATTTTATTCTTTTAGAATACAGCATGTTTCTAAATTCGGCTGCCTTGTTGAACTTTGGTATCTTTTTCTCTGACTGACTTTGGCATGTTTCCTTCTTTGTTATTTGCGACTGCTGCCTGCATAGGACCTGCTAACTAACCCCTCCTCCTGCAARCAGGTGAGTATCCATGTCTGCCTCCTGAGCCCCTTGCAGTGTGGGGAGGATGAATCCCTTACCATGCCGCTCTGGTGCTATGAGCTCACCTCGTGCCAGCATTTCATATGCCCAGCCATGTCTGCTTTTTGGGTGGGGAAGGTGGTAAAAGAATGATCCCCTTAGTTGTATTAGCTCTGTTAGTTGTATTAGCTCTGTGATAGGAAGGAGCAATTCCCATTCTTGCAGTTAGCTGCTTGTTTCTAATTTCTGCTGGCRTCTTTGTAGTCCCCTTTTGATGATCCTGAGCAAAAAGACCAGAAACAATGTGGATATGGAATTCTCCTTAACTATACCAATAGTCCTTTTGTTGTAGTGYTGTAGTGCACTACACTCATTCCTTCATTCGCACTGTTCCCATCTGTGATGCCTCTGCTTCAGACAGGATTGAAGTCCCCAGATTTGTTCACTGGCCAGAAACTTCCTGATAAAGAAAAACTTTCTTGTGTCTAAGGTTGGGAAGAAGGATTTGTGTCAGTTARAAAGGAAAAGGTTTAGACTGGAGGGAAGTCTACTTCATTTAGGACTGTCAAAACCCTTAGAAAACTCAGTGAAAGACTGAGGTGGTGTTTCAATGAAGTAGAGAAATCAGACTGCCTATGCATCTTCAACTGGCTGCCTCTCACTTTATTCATCATGGGAGACACTTTTGGGAAGAACAAGGCTCTTGAAAGAGGATTGTTCAGGTGTCAACACAAGTGTCTTTGGTGGGTTTGGAAAATGTGGAAAACAGCAGTCCTCACTATGACTGTGCAGGGAACTGTGCTTGAAACCTCTGGTCAGAACCTCTGTCACTGGGGAAAGCTACATGGCCCTRGGCCATTTACTGGTTTTCATCTTGACAAGGCAGACCATGAAACAAGTCTGTGTAGAAGAAATAGTTCCCTAAAGTATTGATAATTGCTGGAACTTAGTGTGCTACAGCGATACCAGATTATATGTTCTGCAGATCACCAAAACCAAACTGTATTTGAAACAGAGCTGCAATATATGGAACATGTTCCACATCTTTAGTCATCCCAACAAAGGATGCTTTTTGATGTTTTTTGAATTTGTAATTAATATCTGAAATCTTCTCTTTGAAGAACAAAACAAAAGATTGTCCTACATTAAAAGTTGATAAAAAATATGGAGGAGGACTTAAGGACTTTGTCTGCTAGGCTGAAAACAGATCCAACTATTCTTAATTTGTGTGCTTGGCCTTTGTGACAAAAACTGATCATTACTGCCCCCTCACTCCTTTTTTTCTATGTTTAAGAAAATGCAGATAGTCTGCATACAATCTGTCTTCCTTCAACTAAAGGTGCAGTCACCTGAGGCCTCACCTGCTTTTGCTTCTATGCAACCCAAAGTATCTATAAATATCTCTCTCCTCATWATGAGTAAAAGAGAGTATACTTCTAGATTGGACCAGCCCAGCTATAACCAAGGGGTGGGCTATGTCTGAATAGTTCAAGGATTCATCTATATGGAAGTTAGAGGGTTGGGATTGCTGTGTGTGTGTTTAGGAAGATCACCTGAACACAAACCCAGAGCACAGTGAACACCTTGAACAATTGTGGGGTTTTTTTGTTGTTGTTTATTTTTTTTTTGCTTTGGCTGAGTACTAGTAATGTTTAACAGGTGTGCTTGTCTGCAAGTTTTAGCTAGTGAGGTGCAGGAAAGCTTACAATYCAGAAGCAAAGCACAGACAAACGAAAAATGTTTTTGCTCCATAGCTATTTATCTTCCTGTTCCTCTTCCATTCTTCCGGCAAATAGAGGAAACTCTGGAAAACTCTGACATTCTGCATGTCAGATATGATGTCTTGGGAATACACTGCTTTCCATCTTTATTAGTTATTATTTCATAACTCGTAAACTTGCCAAATGCCCCTATATTCCTACCATGACCTTCCACCTTGGAAACTCTTATTTGACGTAACCAGTAGCATTACAATCTTTTTCTATCAGAAAAATGTGTTTGAGTGCATCCAGCATTACCATAGTGTATGTATGCATATGTGTCTTCAGCTAGTCAGCTGTACTTGTTTGTAAGTGATGCTCAGTTTTGGCGGTGGGCCACTGCAGCACATTTTGCATGGCTGCATAAATCCTTTGTATACCCRAGAAGAGCATAGGCTCATTGTAAGGGAATGTACCAAGAAATTAAATGAGAAATAACAGGATGAATCTCTGTGACTTACTTATAACTGTCAAATATAATAATGTAAAAATCTATTGAAATGGATGAATCAGGAGAGTAGTAAACCCTTCAAAAACTTTGTATTAGCAATTAATAAGTTAAATCAGAAGCTGATTTACATAAGGMCTGAACTGCAGAGCTTTGGGTGCTGAAAGTGAACTCTGGAAGTACAACCATATGCTGTGGTATGTCTTGTATGTCTTAAYCCATTTCCATTGGCTGCTCTTAGAGATAGGATACTGGGGTAGATGGACCAAAAGCTCTTAAGTCCCGAGAAAGATGTCTCATGGTTAATTTGATGGATGCATTCAAAGCTAGATTATATTAATTATGCTAAAATCTCTAGATATGACAACATGGATATCATGGATGCATTCTGAAGTTGTTCCAGACGCAACTAGCTGGGAAAACACTATCCTGTTACCAGTAGAGAAATGGGAAATAGAAATAGAGATCTATTTTCTGGGATTACCACCTTGTGTCATCATGTCTGTTTTGCTTTAGGGAAAGGTTGAAAGATACTCAAAGTATGTACAGAAAGCCAATCTGTGGAAGTGCAGCAAGACCTATGACTCTGGTGTGTAGGCAGGGCAAGGAGACTGAAGCTCCTGGATGGTGCGAGCAGATCCGCAGTTAGTTTCTGTTCATGTGCTCAGCCGAATTCTTCTTTCCAGAGTTTTTCCAGGTGATGAGTTTGACAGTTGGAACTTACAGACCCCTTTGACAAAGAATTACTTCTCTCTGATTAATGGTAATAATTTGCCTTCAGGAGAGGAGGCTAGCTCAGATGTAGCTTACTAAATGGTCAAATCTGCATGTGGTTGGATGAATGTCATCCTGCCCTACTATTTAGCTCTTTCATATGATGTAGATTGGACTGGTCTGTGTACCAGTGACAGCCTTACAAGGTGATGGAAGGCTCTTTCATTGCTGGTCTGCAGCCTTTCAAAAATGCCATGTAACCTGCCACGTAGGAGGCATTTTCTAAGCAATGTCCTGAGAGATCGGTGGGCTCTATCATAACATGGTTTTCCTGTCATGCTATTTTTAGACTCATGTAACTGCTAGTGAGGTGAGTCCAATAGATCAGAATCAGAGCTAGTATTTGCAATCCAAGATGATCTTACAGGAGATAATGAATGGCTTTGGTTTGTCTAGTAATACAGGATCTGCCTATGTCTTTCTGTCTTCCTCGTCTTCTATTCTATGTGGGTGGGTTTTCCTATAAAGTTGGGATGGCTTTTTTTTCCATTTCACACAGTATATTGGTGTTGGGTGAGTAGATAAGGAAAAACATGATACTGATTGTTTTCCCCCCACTTTTGAATTATATGCAGAAAGAGATGGGTTCAACAGAAGACCTTTACCTCTCCACACGAAAGGTGAAAGAGCTCTCTGTGATTGATGGCCGGAGGGCCCAGAATTGTGTCATTCTCCTTTCCAAGTAAGTGTGCGAAGCCTTAGCTCACAGTGTATGCTGTGGTTAATGTAAAGGCAAGACTTAAGCATATGAACATGTTCGTTTTCTCACCTAGATCTGCTGGTAACACCTGTGCAGAGTTTCAGAGATACCTCTCTTGCTGTATCATAAAAGCACCCTACCTCTGTGAAGTGTTAGCTCAGTCAGTATACACATGTTTTGTACATTAAAAATACAGACATAAAAGCTAGGAAGTATTTAAAGACTTTCATGATCAAAAACCTATCAGTACTTATAAGCAGATGAAAGCAGCTAGTTGGCAGTGCTGCCACTTCCTTCTAAGTGATGTGTTCCCCCCATGCTCTGTGTGTGTCATATGGCTCTGTTCTGTCTGTTTTTCTAAGTGTTCCTCTGATCATGTCCCTAGGATAGCTCATTGCTGAGAGTAGAGTTGATCTTTGGCATTTCTGACTGTGGCAAATGTTAGAGATACTGAAGAATTACATCTTACATTTATAAGTTTTGGAAGCCAGAAGATGCATTGGCATGCTCCTGCGTGTGTCTTCAGATGCTGTGACATCAGGGTCCTCTGCATGATTTTCATGCCTTTCTACCAACATGAGGACTGTGCTGGATGTGTGTCACAGTACAGCAGATCTGCCCAGATACTTCCACCCAGATTTGCTAGATCTGCCATCTGTGCTGGCCTTTCCTGCCAGGGCTAGTGAGAAGCACTGGGAAAGTTGTGGCAGCGCTGAGCAAGAAAACTGTTTCATTGATCAGCAGAAAATGCAGGCTCATATGGATATGATTGCTTGTGTGCCTAAGCAAGCTAATGGTTAAAAGCAAAGCTGCAACCAGACCACCAGGACYGGAATGAGTTCTTTCCATTGCTTAGTGAAACCCATGGAGGCTCTCATTATGCTACTTATGTGGCATTAGCCTGAATGTCAACAGGACCCCCTGCACCATCTAAGCCAGCTATAGGGGAAGGTTTACATTTCTGTCTCTGCAGTAGTTGCCTATTGCGTGTCTTTGCTGGTGTTGGCAGCTGACTGCAGGCTGGGGCACAGGGAGGGGGGAGGTATAGGGACAACAGGATTTTCATGCTGTTTGACAGACCTGCTGAAGTGTGTCTGAGGTTCGGATTAACTCATGTAAGCACATGCAACAGTTCCTAGAGTGACAAAGTAATGTGTGTGGGTGGTTGGGCTGAGAAGGATCCAGGGAGGTGGCCCTTGTCTTGGGATGATACTAAATGTTTATTTTTAAATGCTTTCTATCGCCAAAACAAGAGCAGTGTGGGCAGCAGCAGTGCATGTCTTTCTGCTGTTCACCTCTTCTGCCCTGCAAGGCTGGCTTATTCTTACTTCAGAGGAATCTTCTTTAAAAGGGGAGAGGGAGAGGGAAAGGAAGAAACTCTGTGCTTYGTGTTCCCTTCTGCTGCCCTTAGCAAAGTGGCCTTGAAGCATAAATCTTCCACTACAGCGTGTACAGGATGTGCTCACTGCAGGTGTGCTGCCAGGCCAGCCCACCTCAACTTGCTAGTGAAGACCAGAGATGAAACTAGAGATGAAAAATTGTTTTATGACTGTCAGCTACTCTAGCAAGAGATATCCCCATCTTACTGTTAGCAGATCTAGYGTGAATGATGAATGGTTTTTGGAGACTGAGCTCACTGTCCCTAAGGAGCACACGGGTTTGTATGGTGCCCTGTTGACTTTACTGTGCTATGCTATGGGAAATGCCTGTCRCAAGGGCCGTCACTGGCTTAGATCCTTAACATTTGGATTGAACAGCATTAAGGCCCAGGATGTCAGGAAAGTCTTATAGCTTCACCTAGAATTGATATTCCTCCCCAGACCTATGCTTATAGGCCACTATAAGAGCAAAACTCTTGGGAACTCAAATGCACCTTCTAAATTCATGCCTTTTTCTGATCATTGTGTTTTTATAGATCTATCATTAAAACTAGCAACTGAGGAATTGGCTGAAGATGATAATTGAAAGGATTTTATGACCCCTTTGCAGTTTTTTCATAACTCTGCTTCTTCCTTCTTGACATTTGTTTTCTTTCCTGAGGAGAAGAAACTGAGCCAAGTGATCCCTGGCTGCTGCCATGCCCCTGCTGCTCGTACAGTGCACCTTGCACATGTATRCATGTGGGTGTGCACACATGCAGTGAGAAGAGATATAAAAATGGTGACAAACAAAGAGAATTTGCACAATCCTCAACTGCAGCCCCATCTCTCAGGTTGCCATGTGATCTGCCAACAGCTGTTTCCAATTGACTCTTACTGTGCTTATATCCCTGTAGTTTATTCCCCCTTTGTTTACACTAAACTGTCGTGTCCTTTAAAGTAAAATAGCTGCATGGGTTGGGTTTTCTTTCCCTCCACTACTCAAATGTTTTTGTTTTACTAACACTGTGTTAGAAGGGGTCAGGCAGAGCTCRTATTTCATATGGTCCAACAAGCCAAAATCTAGCTAGAGTAAGAAATAGATCCCTTTCTCTTTCACAGAGAGACCAGAGCATGGTGGACTGAAAAGAAATGAAAACACAGTTGTTAGATGATTTTTGCTGATACTTAACAGATTTGTAAGCCTTCATCCCTATTCTCATCTCTCTTTTCATGAAAGCTCTCTTTTTCAGCTACTTGATAGCCGCATCTCTTTGTTTTCCTGCAGTGGGAATATGTARTTGTCCCTATGTTATGGAGTCTGATGGATCCAAAAGCCACCTGTGTCCTATAGCCCAACTGTAAGAGGTTCAAGTGGGCTTTAGCTCAGTTTATCTCGCAGTATCTCCAGCAGGCCGTATTTTGACAAGCACATGGAACCATCTCTCTGTGGTCAGTCCAGACTTCCACCACTCTTGAGTTTGGCTTTCTTAATGGTGTTTCCRACATGCACTTATTTTTGTCACATTGGAAAATTGCTACCCCTCGTGATTTTCCTGATGTCTTCAGTTTCCAGCAAGAGAGAGATTTACTGTCCAACTTATGTGGTCTGGAAGAGCCTTTCCAGATCCATGTGCTTCCCTGCTTTCACCTCTCAGCTGGAAATTTCTCTGATCTCTCTCACCAGTATGGCTTGTATCTTGGTCCATTAGTAAAGTAATGGGTAGTATTTTTGTTGTACAATATGTTTACACTAGCTTATGCCCAAGACATGTATTTCCTGTTGCCTTGCTCTGTGAATTACTGTGGAGAGGTTATGTCCCTGAGAAGCAGGCTGAACAAACATTTGTGTCACTTTCTTGAGCAAATTACTTTGTTAAGATCCTGGCAAAACCATTATGTCAGAATTGTTCTGAGATGTGTTTGCTACTGCTGTGGCCCAGCTGGTCAGTCGTAATCCTCTGAAGACCCTGGAAGTGAGTACTGGCAAAATGTCATATATACAATACTAGCAGAAGGTAGAAACTGACTGCTCAAGAAGAGTTTTAAATGTGAATATGACTGTAGTTAGACACTGAGAATCAGGCTCAGCAGGCATCTTCATTGATGTTTGTAACTTAGGGCATCTGTCCATAAGGAAAACAGGAGTAGTGCAGCATTTTCAAATAGATGCTAATGTTTTCTCACATAGCTCTACCTCCTTGGTGCTTCTACAGTGTTTCAGTCCAGACATCTAGGGTACAAGCTACTCAGCCAATACCATTCTCACTATGTTTTTACTGTTTGCTCCCCCTCTAAATTAAGGCCCATTATAAAATAAAGTCTTTAACTGCTATTCAGATTATAATAAACCCCAAGTTTAAATTGAACATATTAGCCAGTGGCATCCTGTCTTTGATCAGAACTGGCAATTTGTAGATGGGGGTTGAGTCCTGTCTACAACAAAGAACAAACCACTGTCTCACCAGCTTGGAGCTGTAGTTTGTGGGGGCCCCAATATTGTTTCTGCTTTGCTCTGCTTGCTTTGGGAAGTTAGCCATTCTCAAGTTCTCATTGATGGGAAAGTGTGAGCTTTTCAATGTAGAATAGCTTGATGACTTGTAGGCTGTCTCTGAAGAAGGAAAAGAAAGAAAGATCCTGTTTCTTTATGCTTTTAGCGTAATACCTTCATAATGAAGTGCTGAAAAGGCAATGATGTGGTGGGTTCCCCCCCCCAGCATGTTGATGTACTGGGTCTAGACAAGACATACCTGGCAAAATATTACAGCTCTGTTTTATCAAAAGGTTAGGACATCATCTCTCTTCTCCACTGACAAGATAAGCAACTGAGATAAGACGATATGAAGAGAGTGGCTGTGTTTTTGTCTTCGCAGTTAGACCAGGCTTGACATTCCTGAACACTTTTGAGAGTCGAGAGAGTTTCCTGCCTTTATGGGGCAGCAACAGTGTATGTTCCTAAAATGTAGTTATTTAACGTCTGCCTGCAGCTTGGCAGTTATTCTACGGAACTTTAGGAGAGCTCAGGAATKAGAGAAGGTTTATGTCCAGTTGCTGAGTATGGGAGTAAATTGGCTAGGGGCCTGTGAAGATGGAGAAATCTGCAGTCAATAAAAAAAAGATTTGAATGAGCCCATGGAAACTGGCCTTAGGGTGAAGTTAAGTGTGGATGAGAAGTGTGTGCGTGTGCACGCATGCGTCTGTGTGTGTGGGCATGCACATATGTGAGGGGAGGGAGAGGACTGTTTTCCTCATGCTCTTTCTCCGAACAGTCCGTGTCTTGCACTGCCACAGCTTCTCCTTCTAGCATCTTTTGGAAATGTTTGAAAAGGAGAGTAGTCTCRAAAGATGATAATTATTTCCTTTCTCCAAAGTAAAAGGAAGAAGAGGAATCTGATTCCTTTGGTTAGAGAGATTAATGGAGCTATGATTGCATTCAGGGTTCTCTGGTAGCACACAGCCACTCTTCTTTCTTGAAAGCTAAGCAAGATCCAGGGAACAAGTCCATGAAGTGACTCACTTCTTCTGTTACAAAAGGAGATCGTCAATGAGTGATGAGTTCTCTGGGTTGATCCATAAGGGAAGAATAAAGTGGGGGGAGGTTGCTATGACTTAAGTCGATGGCCATCTTTAAGGAGAAAAACTGGGTGAGTGCTGGATGTGTGCAGAGGAAGCTGATGCAAAACTGCAACATGTCTCCCAGGCATTTTCAGAGTCAGGTTGCTGGCTTCCTCCCTCCAAGAGCACGAAACAATAAARCACTTGATGTCTATGAGTGAAGCTGATGTTAAATCAACTGAGGTGTCCTGTGGAGATTAGTGATGAATTACTCTGCAGAGTCAATAGAGATTATTTATGAAGCCAGAGGGAATAGGGAGAGGCAGGCTAAGTACCCTATCAGAAATTATTTGGTAGTTGTTGAGCTTCAACATTGCTTAAAGATGACTCAAGATGTTGGGCTTCTGTAGACTGGTAACAGATGTATGAGTAAGGGGAGAAGGAGGGAGTATTTTCAGTAAGATCTTTTTTTCTTTCCATATGACCAGTGTCAGGCTACTGCTACAAWAAAACCTCTACTGTCGATATCTGTGCTATGAATGAATGTACCGCAGCTGAGGAAAGGGCACTGTGTCTGGTCACATTTACTTCCTGAGTTCTGATGCGCTAGGACCCRTAATTTGAAGAACTGTGAAGCAGAGAGTACAGCTTGAATGTACTCTCTGGATCCACATACTTTGTAAGAAAGTCAATGCAGACTTTCTAGTGGATACTGAGATTAAACTTCTGTAGTGTCAATTTTGGGGCCATAATTCCACTTGAATTTGCTGTCTGTCTCATACTAGCTTTAGGCTCTGAGAGATGCTTCTATTCAGTTCTAAATGGAAAGATTTTGCCCATCTGCTTTAGTTTCTTCTTTAATCAGTTCACCTGTTTCGGTTTAAAAATAGCACATCTGTTTCACATTACCACTGGCCATCTTTAAAATCTACTGCATGCTGGGCAGGAGTTTTGAAAGCACAGTAAAAATCACTTGATTAACAATTCTTTGGCCATCCCTTCAGCCAGGTTTTAACTAGGAAGATCCCTGTTTTGTACTGTCGATGCTTACAGCTCATGAAACACAGCCTGCCCCAGTAGAGGAACAAACTGGCTTTAGAGGAGTGAGCTTGATTTGCTGTAAATCATTTTGTACTCAGAACTGAATGGGTAAGAGTCTAGGATGCACACCTGCAGGCACCACGGCCACATGGCAGGCGTGTAAGTGACTGAGTTAAACTGCTTCCCTGTGCGGGGCTGGCAAGTTACGTGTTTCTCTCTTCTGTGGGCTGAGCCTTTCCAAATAGATGTTTTTCGGCTGATGGCAGGGCACAGGCTCATCCAAGAAATCAAAATGTTTGTATAACTATCTGTCCTCTGGACTCTCGATTATTTTTGAACAGAATATGTTTCCAAGTGTGTTTAGTGCTGATGAATTACGCCAGCCAGAGGACTTTGGCAGTCTGAGGTCCTCAGGCTCCTGCAGAGAGTAGCGACATCGGCAACAATGTGAGCTACCCCTTCTGTCCTGTTCACATACCTCAAATATGTCAATTTGGTTCTGCTCACTGCTCCCCTGCTCTGGATCACCAACACACACACAGTAACTTGCACTGTCTGAAGTCAGTATAGTGGTTGTTTGAATTGTATGTATGGAAAAACGTGGAGTGCAGCCTAATATTTTTATCTTTAATGAAAGCAGCAATAGCAGGAAAAAAAAAATGGTGTTCATGGGTTCTGGTGTTCATGGGTTGGCTCAGTTTGTCTCCTCTGACAGGCTATAGCTCCTATATCACTATACATATTCCGTATGTGGAGGCTGGATTTGGGAAAATGTAAAGGTACAGTCTAAAGGGAATTAAAAAGCCCTAACAGTTGCAAAACTGCAGGCACCAAATTGTCTGGGCATCGGTATCTGTGTCTACTAGAAGTGAGGCCCACACCCACTAAAATGTTTCTTAGTTGTCATGTGGTTATAAGGTTTGAACGGTTCAAGGTCACACAAACATGGTCTTGACAGTTCATGCTTACTAAAGGTAGAAGTGAGAMTGCAGAGCTCTACATAGAAGCCCATGAACTGAGTTTTGTTGTACTGAGCTTGAATCAAACTGATGACCTCAAGGAAAAGATTTCCAGTTTTGCATTACAAAGCTTCTGATCTTTCCATCTCACTCAAACATGGCTTATTATGTAGCTTCTATGGAAATTCAGTAGTCTTAGCTCAGCTGGTATCAGTCAGCTCTCCTTGTCAAAAGCAGACAAGATGACAAGCTAGCAGCAGAGTAACTGCAATTAGTTAAAAGGTGTAATATTTGAAAACTTTTGAATGTCTGCTGATTCATACTTTAGTTTCCAGCTGTTAGCTATATTGGGCAATAATAGAATGTTTTAAGTTTCTCAGATTTAGTAATATTTCCTGTCTGTAAAAATAAAGCTCTTTTGCTTTTACGTAGTTCCAAAAATGTGATTCTATCCAAATGGCAATCGCAACGTGAAATTTCAACATGGAATTTCTTAGCACTGCAGGCAAAAACTTTCTGGCTCATGCATCAGCCTGTCTCTCATTTGTATTTGCATTTTCCCTTTCTGCTGTTAATTAATTATATTGATTGTAGAAAGTCCATGGAGACTGAAGACTTCACTCTGCAAATATTTCTTTTTGTACTTYTCTGCTTCAGTCCCGGAATTAGGGTTTTCTTGTGGATGGCCCTTTTATTACGGTTCGTTCAGTCCTCCACTCCTCTGTGAGCATGATTAATGAGGGTGTCATGGGCTGAGGAGGAGGAAGGTGGAATTTGTCCCTCACGTACTTATTCACTAACACCTGCACTGAGAACCAGCAAGTTCATTTCAGCTAATCTATCAAACAGCCTCTGTATGATAAGAATTTTTTATTGCTCTGGTTTATCTTGGGTTTCTAGTGGTGAACTCATTCTTTTTTTGTCATTGTTTTCCTGCTTTATAGTAATTGATTACCCCACTCATTACATATTGCCATGGAACATGCACAAAGAGAAGAGAGAATATAATATTAATAGTTCTGATAATAAGAACTTATTTTCAGTGCGTGGCAGGACTAAGACGCCACGCTAATCAAGATGCTAATTTGAAGCAAGCCATTCGCTTCTTGAATATATCCATGCTGTCAGTTCCTTATTGGTCTCTGAGTACTGATAGAATGAACTTACCAAGCACAGTCAAAAAACCTCTTTTCTCAGATTCCAGATGAAAGGATTGGTGCCATTGCTAATTATCTTTGGGGATCCTGTAATATTCACCATCAGAGATGTAAATTRTATCCACAGTCACTAAAAATCCATATAGATTTGAGGGGTTCAAGCAGCAGTGAAAGAACTTCAGGAGRAAGATATATAATATAAGGGAAGTTGAGCCATCTATCACTTTTGATCTGTGAGGAGCTGATCACTGCTACGGACCATCTAGTTTTACAAGTATGCTTGATTAGTTGAAGAAAACAAAAATTATGATCTAGAAAATCTCTGCCTTGGAACTGATTAGATCATCTTGCTGAGTACTCTAGAACAGCAGCATCATAGTRGAGCTTCCTATGGCTCTTTCACATCTCTTTTTTTTAGTACAGCTTCTCAGGTCTTCTGTTGTCTGAATTATCAAAGTCACTTAATCGTTGTACTAATGGACCAATATTGATACTGTTGAAAGGCTGAAGCTGTCTAATGAAGAAATCAGACAGGCCATCTTGAAGATGGATGAACAAGAAGACCTGGCCAAAGACATGCTTGAGCAGGTAAGAACGAATGCAGGCAGCTCTACCTCAGAAATATTTTTTCCACCAAAAGCAGGTAGATGTCTGTACTTACTGTGCTAGTGTGTCTGTAGATCTGAACATGGCCCTGTCATGTCAGGGGAGCTGTGCGGTGACCCAAGAGAAAACTATTTTTCCCTGTGTTTCCCTGTGTGTCCCCTCCCTCATATAATTCTGTCTGTATCTGGTTGAATTTGATCCCTAGGGCTTTTGGGTTTCATAGCACTGTACCTTTCCTGATGCAAAATATGCATGGTTATTATTGGTACAATTTTTTCTTTCATGTCCTTTCTTTTTGTAACTGTCCCATAACTTTCTCACCTCTCTTTTATAATGCTAATTTTTTTATTTTATTTTATTTTTGTTTTAAATCTTCCTTGCTCTTCCTGTGCAGTATTTCATTGGGAAATATTCATGAACCAAGCAGTGTGGGTCACTGGTTCTGATTAAAGCAGGAAGAAGATTGGGACTTTTATTCTGACTAGATTGTTTAGAATAGGAGACAGAGAACTGTTTTCTGCAGTTAATTTACTGTGTAGCATGGGGAAGAGGAAGCAATTAAATCACTATTGTCCAATTTCTGGCATTTATTAGAGAGTAAAAGGTGATCCTTTTAGCACAGGTATCTTGGGTAGAATTCCTTAGAAATAGGCATAAGAATTATCATACCCTGACAAATCTGATTAATTTTGTATGTGCAGTCATACTATTAAACATGCACAAAAAGCTTTTTTTTWAAAAAAAAAAAAAGTACTGATATTCACGTTAGCTGAATACCTATAACTGCTCCAGAAGTCTCTGAAAGTGTCTAATATTCCACACCTTTGATTATCACATTTTTGGGGTGTAGGATGAAATATTGAAGTAGTGGTGAGAAGCAGACAAAGTGGTTGGAATGCCTTGCAGGCAGCTTTCTTCTTGTGGGTGTGGGCTGAGGCTCTCTGCATGGCAATATTTACAACCAAAACGAAGGACAACTACCACCAGATATGTCAAAAATGTGTCAAAGTATGAGCTTTTAAGGTCAGCACATGAATAGTGGCCAGTGTCAGACTTGCATCCAGCGGCTTGGTTATTGTTTATTGTTTCTGCAGAGTAGGGCAGACCCAAGAGAGATAGATGAGGCTTTGTGCGCACCCCAGGATAGGCACGATGGGCACTGGCCCCTGGCTGGGACACATCCCGCTCTTATTTGCCCCAGTCTAAACTCCAAGTAATGCTGTGGGAATGCAAGCCTTTTCTGTACTTTCCATTGGAAATTCCCCGTTGGAATTAAAAATGTATCTAATGGAATGGTTGAGGGGGAATAAAGACAGAACAACAAGGAAAGGTTTAAACAAGGTCACTTTTATAGCCACAGCTGCATTTCTTTGAAGTCACAGTCATGTGGCTGAATCAAACTAATGCTTTTCCATGCTAGCATAGAAATTCAAGGGACCTCTCCTCCCTGTCCCACTATCATTCTTCCCTCCCTCTCTGTCTCTCACCACTGCACTTTGTTTGTCCCCCTCTTTCCTGCTCTTCCTTTCCCTTGGTCTCTCATGGAGGTTTTTGGTTTGTTTGCCATTCTAGCTGCTGAAATTTGTTCCTGAAAAGAGCGATACTGACCTGTTGGAAGAGCATAAGCACGAAATTGAGCGCATGGCCCGGGCGGATCGTTTCCTCTTTGAAATGAGCAGGTCTGTTTGAAACATTATGGGAAAATGTACTGGGGGCTTTTTGGAAGTGGTTGCAGTTGTTATTGAAAATGGATCATCTGGCCTTAAAGAGAAAGGTGTAAGGAATTGTGTTATATCCATCTGCCAGAAGCCCACAATGTTACAAAATTTTCTTGGTGATAAGCACTCTCCCTGCTGTCTTTTAGGAATAGTCCCTTGTTGACAAGCAGACAKCTGCCTCCTCTCTTTAACTTTGTTCTCTAAAAAAGGACTTTAGCTCCAAATATCAAGGGCTTGGGATTTTGAATAGATCACTTTTCCCATCCAGCTGTCTCATCTCTTCATCATCTATCCTTTTTCCAACCATGTTATACAAACCAAGATGCATTCTGCTCAGCTGCTACTCCCATGAATCTCATATTTTGAGAATAATGGGAGTTGTTTCAGCCACTCTTCAATTGTGTTCAGAATGTATTTGAAGTCTCCGTTTTCATAACAATGTTGATTAAGAAGCATTAGATGTTGGAATTATATCTGTAATGCCATGCACTGGTATTGCAGGACTCAGCATCTAATAGGTTGTGTAGGTGTCATGCTGCTGCTGTACTTCAAGAGATGATTCCAGTTCAATGTTGGCTTTCTTTTCCCTTTTGTGTAGGATCGACCACTATCAGCAGCGGCTTCAAGCATTATTCTTTAAGAAGAAGTTTCCTGAGAGGCTGGCAGAAGCAAAGCCAAAAGTAGAAGGTATGGTTGCAGCCTGTGCTGGTAGCTGTGAAAAGGGGAAAGACACATCAAAAGAGCCTTATCTTCAAAGAAAGTGCCATTACAGCATGTGCTGTTCACAGAGCCAGCATCCAGGATATGTCATATGCTGGGAAACAAATTCTATCTGACACTCTTGTTACACCTGCTGGCTTAATAMAGTGAATGTCATGGGTGTTAACACTGCAGATGTGACCTGACAGATGCGACAGAGTGCTACCAGATAGTGCTGAGATGCCAAAATCTTTTCTGGTCGTCTTTGCTGATCACATATCCCTTCTCACTCTCATCCCTTGCACCTTCCTTGCCCTTGAGGCAGTTAAGACAGATGCCTGAGCAGAGGTGGTATTTTGTAAATGTTTCACCAGGAAGGTTACATGATTTTTTGCAGCATCCTTGGTTGTCACAGAAAGGAGGTGAGTGTATTTTGCTCTGCATTTTCAGATGAGCTCAAGCCTTCCCCCTCTTCTTACTAGCTGTGTTTTAGAGTGGGAGATTTAGGAGAACAGCCCAGTTGCTGGGTTCTGGAGAACAGCCTACATGTTAAATGCAGTGTGCCTTCTTTCCTTTCATCTGATTCAGTGCATTTGGAGGGTGGGAGGACAGTGTTTGGACAATCCAAATTAGAGCATCTGCTGGTTGGCAAGAGCAGCGTTTTAGAGTGCTTCAAATCGTAGGCCCAAGTACAWCCAGAAAGACCACTGTGTAATAACCTGTCCATTTTTAATCTTTTCAAGCCATCCTTCTGGCATCCAAAGAACTTATCCGCAGCAAGCGCCTGAAGCAACTCCTGGAGGTTGTTCTGGCCTTTGGCAATTATATGAACAAGGGCCAAAGGGGAAGTGCGTATGGCTTCAAAGTCTCGAGCCTGAACAAAATTGCAGACACCAAATCCAGCATAGACAGGTAGGTTGGAAGACCCTAAATAAGTGACTGTGCTGCTTCTGTTATCTTGGTGATGATGATTTTTTTTTTTTTTTTTTTTAATTCCGGAGGCAATTGGTGTTTTAGTAGTGCTTTTCACTCTAAAAGGTTGCGGAACAGTTAAGACCAGGTATTAGCACAGCATTCAAAGTCTGCCATTTCTTTGGATAATGCCTGTCTGTTGTTGGATTGTTTTTCTGCAACACTGTACAAAGATGACATAATATAGTATGTCACAAATAAATGAAATAAGGTTTGGGGGTAGAGGCAGGAGAGAAGACTTTCTGTGGAATTTGACCTTTATATTTTTGTTTTATGGCCATGGTTTTGCAAAAAGTAGAGTACAGAAAACTCAGACCACACTTATACATCTTCTTTAAAAACATGGCATATATTTCTCATGCAGAAGAATGCTAGCAATACGTAACTGATACTGGACCACAAGGACTAGGGCATAGCTCAGAGAGACTGGGCTTTGTTGTTTCTAGGGCAATTAAGAAAGATAGCTGTTATTGGGATGTGGTGCTTACAATTTATCAATGTGGGCTGTAAGTATTTGTAGCGTTACAGTCTGTGTTTTGCCCTATATCCCTGTGCTGGTTCTGAAAATGGATCTTTTTGTGACTGAGGAGAGAATCTCACCTAACAATTTTTTCCTTGRAAATCTCCAGTGCTGGTTCTTACTAACTCACACCTTCCTTGCCTTGTTCAACCTGCTGAAACCACAGCTGTGACAAACTGATTTCAGACTGCAAAAAAATGAGTAATGCCAGTAAGAAGCTCTAGGAGATTCATCTCTGCCTAACAGAGTTTGAACTAACAGAGCTCTATTTTAACTGCCAGAATATCCTTTCCAAATTCTGAAGCTAATACTTGTATAGCTACTGTCAAACTTTTTTTTTTTTTCCTCTCTTTCTTAACATTGCTTAGCTTGATTCTTTGATTCTTCAAATACTAAATGTCCTAAGCAGACTCGGTGCTCTCTCCAGGTCTCAACTCCTGGTGTATGGTCTGTATGAAGCAGTGGCTGTCTCCTGTCTTGCATGTCACTTAGCCACGTAACACCTACCTGAAGCAGCTGTTCTGGCTGGCTGTTCTCCCCACAAGCAAAATCCACCATTTACTTTTAAAAAATCTTTTAAAGCCTGATCCTGCATCTCTCCTGCATCTCATTTCTTTCCACTCCTATATGAGCTGCCATTACAGTAGTGGGTTTGAATAATCTTCAGGTATAGCTGTGTCACTCTTAGTATGGGAATCTTTCTTTGCAGTTTCTTTAGACTTCAAAAATCTTTTTCTCTTTTTCATTAACTCACGTTCTATTCCACATGGCACCCAAGAGCACCACACTTCTCCTTTAAGTGTTAATGACACGTTGATACTGTTRGCTGTTTATTTTCTAAAATGTTTCTGGACAAATTAGTACTGTGATAYACATTTTTCTGTTGCACCAACTGTGCAAATGAAGGAAACATGCTGGTGCTTCTCGAATAGAGCAAGGCAATGTGAAATATTCCTTGAGGTTTTAGGAGGGATGGCTCATAATGGGCTAATTCATTTTYGTCTGCAATACTTTTCTTTCAGTGACAGAGCAGCTAACTGCTGATCTACTATTTGTTTTGTTCACTAAAGCACGTTTCCTACCCAAATATTTTTCATTCCTCCCACCTTTTTCCTTCTCATCACCATCTTCCTTCTCTCATTTCTTCCTTCTCCGTTTTAGGAACATTACACTGCTACACTACTTAATTATGATTTTTGAGAAGAATTACCCAGATATCTTAGATATCCARTCTGAGTTGCAGCACCTTCCAGAAGCAGCAAAAGTCAAGTAAGTGCAATGCTATTCCTTGTTACCAGAGCTGACATTCCTGATGAATTTGTTAACTACCAGTGTTGGTAGTTTTAAATTGCTATGCCCCAAACTCATTGCCAGCCTTCCAAGTGGGGCACCTGAAATGCCTTTGCTGACATCCTTGAGATTATTCTGATGTACATCCGCAGAAAAATTAGCTTCAAAAACATTTAGGTAACTAAACTGACCGCTTTATTTAGATACATCCGTATCTACTTTACTTCAGAATCGGATATTKTAACTGGGCTTGTTATTACTTGCAGCTCACTCACCATGCTCTGTGGTTGGCCACTTAAGCGCCTGCTATTTTTTCTGGATAATTGAAGGTTTGTTTCTCAGCTAGAGTCAGTTAGAAACAGAGGCTATAGTAGGCTGTTTTCAAGATCATACAAATTTTTGCACAAATRAGTCGTACATAGAAATTGGGAAAGCATCATACTTTCTGCACAAATTTCAGTGATTTTTTTTTCCATTTCTGTAAATACATGAAAACAACATAAGTTGTCCCCTCCAAATAGTATCATTTTTCTTTACAATCCACTGCTCAAAAATACCTTTGCATGTTATTTGCCCAGATTATTACAGGGTACTACTCCAGCTAATAAAAGGTAAGTAAAAAATAAATACTGGTTCATACTGAAAGCATTTATTAAGGACCTTGTAGTATTTTCTGAGATACGGAAAACTGCTTCCCAAATACTTGGAGGAAATGCCTGCTGGCTTACAAGTAATAATAACTGGCTACCTAGGAATGAAAAGTTCTTTTTCATGTAATTTTTTAGGAAAAACTAGTCTTGTTTATATTATGCAAGCACAAATCCAGAACAACACTGATCAAGGGAAGCATCTATTAAAAAGCAAAGTGTTAAATGCTTAGTAATGATAGCATGCAAGGACTGCCATGTGATAGAAATGCAGAGGGAAAAAATGTTTGAACTATGAGGAGACAAAAATTATATGTAAATGTATTGCTAATAAGGTTCAGTAGTTAACTGATGGGTCAAGAGTCACATGCAGAGCTAATCTGAGATTATCACGATATGTGTGATGAAGCTGGGGTGTCTGCCTATGAGTCAGCCAATTATTGTAAGCTAACCATGTGGCATATGTTCCTTGCTGGAGAGTTGGGCTCACTTCACAGTCCTACATGGGTAGGTGTTCTGAGGGTGACCCCCTGCTTCTGGCCTGGAAAATCCCAGTCTTTTCTGTGACCACAAGCAGACATGGTCTGCCTGATCTTACATCGCATACAATAAGCAGCATAGAGTATTCGCAGACACTCTTCCCCTCATTTCTCATCATCTGGTATGGCTGGTGCCAGAGGCCGGATACCAGACTTGATGGGCCAATGGTCTTTTCTGCTACAGAGTTCTTGTATTCCTGTGTAACACTGCCCCTTTTGTTTTAACTCCTACATATCTGTCTCTCATGCAGCCTGGTAGAGCTGGAGAAGGAAGTTAACAATATAAAGACTGGATTGAAAGCTGTTGAAGCTGTAAGTATCTCAAGGTTTCCATAGCTCCATGCTAAAATATATTACTTAGAATATATTCAGCTATTATATATTCTGTGATAATAAAAAGTGGGCTTTGTTTTCTCCTTTCTGTTCTGTTCTACAATGTATTAGCCAGGAAATAAACAAATACTAGCTTYTCATGGGGCATTTCTGCTGATGATCTTAGCAGACTTCAGCCTAATGAAAAGCTAGATTGACCTTAGCCTGGAGAGTTAAGGGATGGTCTGATAAATGGTGCACACTGCAAGAAAAGAAATGCAATTCATTTTCTTCATTATTGAGGGTTGTCTGGCTGCTGAACAAGTGTTTCACATGGCTCTCTGAGTAGTTGTAAACACTAGTATACTATTATACACAACCCTAACCTATCCCAAGCATGCTTTGGGGAGATGAAGGGAAAGACTGGCTAGCTAAGAGTGAGGCAGCTGAGCTGTCAAACAAAACTGCAATGGCCTTTGTTCCTGATATTGATTTTCTTTATATTTTTTAAGCAGAACTTGCGTTACTTGTACTCGAACTGTGCTTTGATGATGCAGAGTCTGTCAATAAACAAGTAGCTTATTGATGCAGTTGCATGTGTTTAACTTAAGGAATTTAAAACTGAGTTATTGGTCTAGATGTTCTCTGGAGACATACCTGTCTGTGTCAGCAGTGGTTCCTCAACCTGGATCCTCCTTTAGTCTTTATTACCAACTGAAGAACRGGCAAAAATAGAATGGGCAAAACTCAGCGGGCACTTGCTTCTCTAAATAACAAAAGCTAGAAGAAATGCTGCGTTTGTTGGGGAAGACCAGAGGAGAGAACTTTAGATTCAAAGCTTCTGTCAGGTATATGGCAGAGACAATTCAATGATACATGAGCTAAYACGAACTGCATAGTTGCAGGGTCTTTTTTAACTGTTTTTATTTATTTGCTTATTTATTCTAAGGCATTGAACATCGGCTTCTTCAAATTCCTCAGTGAGAAGTCTCAGAGAAAATTCTCCCTTTTCATTTAAAACCTGGGTTTTTTTTGAACTTTGCATGGACTTCTACCCTAGCAGTGCTGTAGGTTGGTTAGAAAAGCCATAGGAAGGTTCCTATTTTCTAAATTTTTTCTTTTGGCTTTAGTGTAATTGCTGTATAATTCAGTAGATCTGCTGTTGGTTTGGTTTCTGGGAAAATATTCTGGGCTTTCTGAGGTAGGACAGCACAGCATGAGACAGCGTGTTCAGTGGCAGAAGCCAGGAACTTGGTTATGCCATTGACTTAAATGTGTGGCTTTGAAAAACTCAACCTGTTTACGTCCTTTCTGTGAAATGGTAACTATAAATATGTCCTCCCACACAAGAGCTGATGTGAGGAATAGCAAAATTGTGTTTGCACAAAACTAGAGATGGTGAAGATTAAAGGCTAACAATGCCCTGTCATCTCTGTCTCTTTATATGTCCCATCATCTGCCCAGTCAAACATTCTGTGCCCAAAAATTCTGTGCCCTGCAAGTACAGGAATAAAATCCTAAATTCAATTTGGTTGTGGCATTTATCATCTGTTTAATATACTGAGACAAGGATAGTGCCAAAAAAAAAAAAAAAAAAAAAAAAAAGAATCAAGAGGTGCCTGTGGAGCTCAAGAGGGTCATTGCTGTGTTTAGATGTTCCTTGCCTTTTCAACCAGGATTTTATTTTTCTCAGAGTGGAGGGTGGAAGCTTTGTTTCACTTTCTTTATAACACTTTAATGTGAGTAGAGAGACTAGTGACGTTAATGTGCCAGTGGGAGAGTATCAACTGGTAACAGCAGCAGCTTTAATATACACCTTCCTCCCATATGACCCTGCCATAGTGCCTTGATGCTGTCCTAGAAAAGCATCCTGTATCCTAGCAGATGGTCCCTGCTGCCTTTGCTGTTCATTTGTGGCCTCTGCACTAGGAATGCTGGCAGAGGGGCTGGTTGGTGGGAGTCATGGTGCATGAGTGCTTTCTGTGAAATAATTGCCTGTCTTTCAAGGAACTAAAATTGCCCGTTCTTCCTATATAAAACAGAATGTGATGACTGCATTTTCTCTTCACCTGTCCTGAGTTTGATTTTGCTATGAAGGTTGAGGAAAGGCTCAGTGTCCTGTCTCTTGGCCGCAGACCGTCTGGCTGTCCCTAACAGTTCATCATCTATTTAGTTGTGATCCTCTGAGTGATAAAAGCCTATTTCTAAGCCCTGTTTCTGGTTGGTTGGGGTAAGGGAGAAATCAGCAATAGGAAGAGATACTACTGCAGGCATGGCAAGCGATATTTGGAAATTAAAAGCACCTGTAATAAAAAGGGTTGACATACAGCTCATGACTTGAAAAGGCCCAATTTCRGTGAGAGCAGACCATTCTCTCTGTTGAAGTGTGGGCACCTACTTCTGTTTTGTTTTCTGTGTTTGGGTGGTTTGCCCTTTCGCCTTTGCAGCCAATTTTCCTGTTCTTTCCCATACATGTCTTCCACGAGCAMGCTCTCTGGACCATTCAATCGTCATCTTCCCTCCCTACTCTTCTCCCTGCCATGGTATTTATCAGCTGGGGCTGCCAATGCCTCCCAGTCTGCTTGCTCCATTTGTGGTTTTCTGGCATGTAAAAAGCAGCACTATAGCAACAATAGAAGATCATTGTCAGGTGGAAGGGGGAGGAGGGGAGGGAAGGTGCGATTCTTGATTCCAGGCCAGTGTGTTCTCACCACAACCTTGGCTTGGTGACTGAGAAGTTTCTTCAAGGCCCCTTAAGAATAGAAAACTAAAAATAGTTTTATAGTCAGATGCTTTTAAAGGTACTGCTAACCCTTTGCTTTCCTGGACTTGCAGCTTCTTTCTGCAAACAAGAAATATCCATTTGTCAGAACAGGCATGCAGCTATTGCCTTTGTGTAGGATGCTCCCAGGACAGCTGGGTAGTTCTTGGTCTTTTCCAAATCAGAAAATAAACTCTGGCAGTGGAGCCCTCTTACAGAGCAAGGAGACCTGTGTCTGTCACTTGAGAAACCACTGCCAGCATCAAACCTAGTGAACCAGTAGACCAGCCCACCAAGGACAGTGTTTGCTTCTGTTGCTTTGCTTTTATGACCCCTATAGACCATTTCTAGAAGACATAGAGGACTTTCTTATTCTCTAGCTTCCTTTTTTGGATGGTCTAACTATTATGACTATACCAGTTACTTGTGTGGTATATTTTTAATTTGGAAGAATTACTCTTCAGGGAAGGACTGAATTTGAACTTGAAAAGCAGATAATCTAATCCTATTTTTGCTTTTAAGAGCACTGCTCTCCAGTAGCAAATGCAATAGCTTTCAACAGTGCAAGAGTATAGGTGGGAAGACAGAACTATTGTACTCATCTGGGTAAAGATAGTGAAGTAGAACAACTTTCAGCTAAAATCAACTTAAAAACAGGAATGGGAAAAGAATGGCTGAAAAAAAMCAAAAAATCCCATAGTTGTCAGCAGCATGTGATGTGACCTTTCTTGTACTTGAAAGGTGTAATTCATGTTTATAACATGGAGACAATTCACTGCAAAGCAGTGTAACTGAGTAGCATTCCCAAGACAGTAGATGATGATGTATCATGAAAAACAGGGAAGAGGAGAGGCTTTCTAGAGCACCTAGCTCTAGAAAAGAAAAAGCAGAGGCTTTCTCTAGCCACCTGCTCAGTKTTTTTCTTGCCACTTTTCTGCCTCTGCTCCTTCCTTGTAATGATTACATCCTCTTTCCGACGCATGCCAGACCAGAAAGCATATCAAGTCTGGTTTTYGGACTGCTGATAGTCAAAGTCATTCTTTGCATATCAGCAGTGTGGAGCACAGCCCACGGAGTTTCTCAGCACAGATGACTATAAACCTATCCATTTGACTCTGTGAACTGGTATTTTGATGACCAGAAACAAAGCGCACCAAACATGCTTGTAATTGGAATCGCAGCCAGCAGAGAAGCAGAAGAACAAAAACACACACAAATATTTTTTTTYCAAAGGGAACACAGGGTCAGATTGTAACGTGACCTGCTGCTGCTGTTTCATGCTGGTTTCCTACAGAGAAAGCACAGCTTTATCGTTCCCACTGATTACGCAGCTGAGGATAAAGATGACTCCCAGATTACCATTTCGTTGTCCCCATGAGACTGTCAACAGCACACAAGCCAAGCGTAGACATGGGAGACAGCCTGTCTTACTAAAACTTAATCGTTTTGAGCACCTCAGTAGGGTTTCTATTTTCAGTACTGTAAGCATGCTGAAGAGAGTGAGAGAAGGGATAGCATGCATAGGTAATTCTGTCTTTGAAGTAAAAGCTTATTCTAAAAAGAATAAGAAAATTGAAGAAAGTATCTTACAGTCAGTTTTTCTTTAAGTAGCAATCTCGGTTTGTTATGGTTTTATGCACCCTTGTCCCCCTCAACCCCGCCCCAATCTTCTTATCACAGTAGCCCTGGTTTCTAATTCCCTGACTTTTATGACACCAAAGCAACTTGACTAACAGAGTGATTGCAAATGCTGTATAATACCTSACTTATTTCTGCCCATTATTTAGTGGAGTGGGGGGAGAGGGAATTTGACATCTCTTTGTTGCTCAGCTAATGCTTTCCAGAGAACCTTGGGAATTTAGTGATCTTTGAGATTTCCGCTTCTCTTAGACTGAAATTGGTTAAGGATCTAAAAACCTCCTGGGTGAAGTCCTCCTCTTTCCCCCTAGTTGGAAAACCAGTGACATCACACAAGCCTTATTTGTTAAAAACAGGGCCAAAATTATTCTTATCTAGTTGTATAGTTTATCATCTTCTCCAAGAGGGAACCATGCAAAATTCTTTTTTCCTCAGCCTAGATCCTTGTAAAGTATCTTAAGCGAAGGATCTAAATGAATTGAGGAGATCCAGAAACATCCACTCTTCCCCAAGTGTGCAGCCCTTTGAGCCRTATGGGGAAGAGAAAATGGAGGGAAACCTACTATTAAACATTCCAAATTCAGTTGCTACATGGTCTGCGTTGTCTAKTCTTTGCTGTTATGCGCAGAAGGAGAAGTGCTGCATTTCACATACCTGATGCTTGGATTCTAAAGTTACTTTTGAAATTAAATGTATTGATTGCTTTCTTGGAAGTAGTTGTTATTCTAAGGTTTAGGGAACTGTAAATACAACCTTCCTCCATCCCATTTTAGGCCTCCATSTCATGCTGCAAAGGCAGAACCTTTGGCTTAGTGAGAAACATTATTTTTCTGAATTACAATTCATGACAAACGTGTGAGGAGGGAGCATAGAGAATGCTCTGTAAAAAAATTGAATGGATGCCTTTCCTGATTCCCTTTTTTTCTCAGTGATAAATCYTTGGTACTTGCCAGTCTACATTTCTTATTTCTCTTCCAGGAGCTGGATTATCAGAAGAGACGCATGCGGGAATCAGGAGACAGGTTTGTTCCTGTCATGAGYGATTTCATCACTGTGGCAAGTTTCAGCTTCTCCGAATTAGAAGACCTTCTGAACGAGGCTAGGGACAAGGTACAAATAATTTTTGAAGCAYCTGGGGTTTCATTGACCAAATTAAAAACATGAATCAAAATGGAAACAACAGTTTTAGATTCTAGGACTGTAGTGAAAACCATAGTAGACACAGAAAGTGGTTTAAGATGAAGATTCTCTTTTCCTTATTTGGTCTATCTATGAATTTAGCAATTTAGATTGTGTCTTAACCTTAAAAGAAGGTTCAGTGCTCTTGCCCACTTCTTTAACAGTATCAGTGGGSTATAGAACTGTGAGAGCAATTTCTGGGAGAGGGTATCACACCATGCTGTGGTATTACAGGCAGTGCCTTTTAAACAAGTTATTAAAAATAATTGCCATAGTTATTAGTGATAGTGACCTGATGTCTTTTATCTTCTGCTGATTTAATCCCACTCTGTGTRTTCAAATAGGGATGTTTGTGCTTCATTGTTCTCTTTAAAAAAATGAATTTTTGGATAGTTTTGGATAGTTTTTCTGATAACTCATTTCTGTTACTGCTTGTGTTTCATTGCATGGGAGATCCCAAGCATTCACAGGTGGTCATATCTATATCCTTCTTGTACAACAGGCACCATGTGTGTGTTGCTCTTTGGGAGCTATTGAGATTATTTTGCATTTTTTTGTACAAAAAATGGTAAGAAAGGTGTAGGCAGTGGAGGAGTTGTATGTTCTCTGTTGGTGATTTGGAAGCTGACATTAATGCTTGTCTTCAGTTGAATGAGGAGGAATTTATTTGCAAAGACCATACGGATATAAAAAGGTTAAAGGAGAACAAGTTCTAAAGTAAACAATATGTAGTGGCAAATCTGCCCTTTTTGTCTGGCATGTTGAGAGTAGTTGGGTTTATGAAATAAATGGTTTATTTCTTTTGGATTGGATTCTTTCCACTGCTGGTTTCAGTCCCTGCAGGGAGATATAAGCAATGTTAAGGGACCTATTGCTTTATTAATGAAACCTCTGCCCTTGTGTTAGGCTGTAGATTTTGAAGGACAGGCAAAATAGTACCTGAGGATGTGGACAGTAAGACTCCTCACTCGGTGACTTTGGTGTAATGTTCTGTGACTTCTTGCTGTAGAGATTATGTGGATAACATTGACTTGCTATCTGAAACACCAAGAGCCTCTGGGCCTCAGCAAGAACTAGCTACCTTTGCAAATGCCAGCAAGGGACTAAATTTTACTGCTTTTGGAAGATAAAGCAKGGCAGTCCAACACTCATTAATGTCRCAAGAAACTTTGTAGAGAATAATGTGCCTRGTGTTTTTCATTGTTGACATGTTGCTTGAGAATATTCAAACCACTTGCAAGATAATAATGTGCACACCACATTGGCTTTATGATCATAAGAACAGTATTTTGCATTCCATGCTTCCACTTCTAAGGCTATCTGAATTTACTGAGAAAAGCTCTGTTTTCTATGTTTTTTGGGCCTCTATTTTATGACTGGGTACGTTTTTCAACTTAATCACAGTTAGGTTTGTGTTTCTGGAAGAGGATTCACTGTGTCCTTGGCTTAGACTCTCCTGTTTTGTTTTGATGTTACAGATAGTGGTGGACCTTTCTTTTGGCATACTAGGACTAAATTTCAGTGTGGTTTATTTACAAGGTCAACCATGGGTTAAAATGAGAAAATTATACACGTCCAGCACAAAATTGCAACTTTCTTTGACCAGACAAAGGCAGGAAAGATGCAGATCTTTTGCTTTAAGAATAACCAGAGAATCTCCCTGCAGGCAAACCAATATATTGGATGTTGATGCACACTTCTTTTAGACGTTAGCCAATGTAAAGCACTTGACAAAAAGAGATGTTTTATTTTAATGACTATAACATGCTTAGGAAACGTTTCTCTACCTTCTCCTCACACACCSCTACTATGTTTGAACATATGCCTTTCCAGCTTCTGCTCAACCTATGGCTTTGGTTCTTCCACTGGCAATGAGCTGCTTTTGGACTCCTAAAAGGGAACTGTCTGTCCTTACCAGTGTTGAGCTATTTCTCATGTTTGCCTTATATTATTTTTCCTCTCTCTTCTTCCTCTTTTTCTTAAAAAAGAAAAGCTGGAAATTTTCAACAAACCAGATGTGCTTCTCAAAGCCCATAACGTCTTCCAGTCTCAGTGGGCTCTCTATGTTTGTTGAATCACAAGCTTTTATTTTTACCATGGAAACCTACTGTAACTGGTCAGTTAAAGAAAGAGGGACRCAGACATCTGATTATCACGTTCTTTTTGGATTTCTCAAAACAAAGCAAAGTGGAAAAAAAAAAGAAAGGTAGAGGGAAAGGGAGGGCTTTTAAAAATATCTTAATGAGCCCAGAAAGAATTGGTCTGGTTCACAGATTTATTAATAATAATAATGAAGCTCTAGTTTTAACAGCTGGAGTTGAATATCTTTCTAAATATAGCTAATTGATTGCTATGAGTTAGTCAGAGCCATGTTTCCACAGCTGGGATTTAAAACAATGCAAATTATCTTTTCAAACCTGTTTTTTTAATAATAAAAAAGAAGTTTCTTTAGTGCTGAAAAAAAGAAAGACTTTTCAGAATTTAAGTTATGGAAACAATCCGTTACCAAAGTATGACCCTCTGTGCAGTGAGTATATTCTACAATTCTTTTCAGCATTTATGATCAGATAGACCACTCAATTCCTGCTAATCAGCTCAGTAATGACCACTGCCAACCCACCAGTAAAAGCTTTCCTCCTGTCATATATTTGTATGGAATATATATATATCCTCTTCCATCTGGGAAGGCAAGTAACTCTTCCTTCTTGGAGATATGGCCATGGCAGAATCCCAAACCTCGTGTGCACAGTACCAATAATGTCTTGAAACCCACTGGACCAAAATGGGGGCAGAGGACCCTTTTAAGTCTGTTGGCAACATTGTTATTTAAAGTTGAGACCTTTAATTTTACATGAAACTTAATGGGAACCACCTTCAGGATGATGGAGCAGATATAAAATGCWGATTTCCCAATCAATATACATCAATCCAGGCTTCAGCTTATCATATCTAGTAGGGACAGAAGGGATTTGCTTTTTAGGTTTTCTGCTTAAACAGTATGTTTACTATTGGTGACCRTGGGTAGGAAATTATATCTTTCAATTTAAAAAGCAAGATTGTCTGGTGCAAGCTTCTGTGTTTGCAGAGAAAGCCTTGTAACAGTGCTTATCTCCATGCAATAAACAGATGCTTGGTTAAGAACTGTTTGAAATTTTAGATCGACTCTCTAAATAGGAACCTAACACAGCTGTTTCCTAATCTTTTTCTGGTTTTCTCACTTTCAAAAAATTTTAAAGGAATCCATAGATTAGGTCAAGGACAATGTTTTCTGCCATTTCCCATCAACTGGAAGAAGTGTCAGGAGCAAGGGGAAGACAGTGAAATTCTGCTCTGGAATCTTTCACCAGTTTTAACATGTTCAAAGAGACACGGAGTATTTTTCACAGCAAAAAGAGAATGAGATGGAATTTTATTTGTGAAAAATATATCTTTGGATTTCTGTGGAGAAACAATGAAAATGCCCAGGCCCAGGCAAAGGTTCCTCCTGTGGTGTGAAATTTATTTTCCCACTTATAAGGTGCTGTTTAGTCCATAGCAAGCTTTACAGTAAACTTGAACGTTGACAGGTGTGAATTTGCATCACTGTACTGTGTAAAACTGCTCTACTTTGTGTGTGTGTGTGTGTGTGTGGTTTATAACAAACCCATTTGTAAAACATTTTGGATCTTTCAGAAAGAACAGGATCTGCTTAGTCAGGTATTAACACTGCTATAACTATTGATGTTCACATTTTTGCTCCATGAAAATTGACCTTAAGCTTCTGTATGGAGGGATGTGTGTTAGCACAACAGAGGTGGACAGTCTTTGCCATGACAGAGAATTGGGCAGACAATATTTATTGAGAGGAATGGAGATAAAAATCTTGCATATACTCAGTAAGTTTAGCACATACAATAACTGTGTTTTGAGGAACAATAAGACAGCGAAGACCAAAATCTGTTTTAAGAAAATAGTCGTCGATGGTAGAATGCTATGAAGCCTGCAGAAATGCTGTAGTCCAAGTGGCAGTGAGAGGCTGTGCGTTTCGAGCATTCATTTGCTGGAGACTGGTATATCCTGTGAGCCACTGGGGCTAATGTAGAAGGAACAGATCAGGATCGGGTGTATTTCAGTGGCRTGGACAGGCCCTGCACCACAAACAGCCACAGCATTACATATATGTAATATAAATTACATACCTGTTGTATACTAACTTAGAAATGTAGTTGCTTCAGGTAAGACTGGTATCTAACGTATCAGAAATATTTATAGTACCTGTAACCTGGTTTTGGCTGCCCGAGTGGCTGCTGAATTCATGGGGGGATCCTTAAAGGGCAGTTAGTTGGTTGCAAGGAGAACTGGACCCAGTCCTGCCTGAAATCAGTAGGGCTCTTCCAATTAACTGATTTGAATCTGTCCTGTGAAGAGAACAGACATTTATTTGAACTGGCTTWGTACAAGATTGTAGTCTTTGTAACGGAAATCTCAGGATTACTTATCTGGGGGAGATTGTTCCTGTTGCAGGGCCACGTGTTGTAATTCATTTTTTCACCGGCTCCTCCCTTAGTGGCAGGCAGCAGTGGCCGGGAATTTTTATCGGGCCTGTTTTTCCTCCTGCTCATACAGCCCCGTCCGTGCTGTCTCCAAAGCTCTTCTGCCACTGTTTAGCGTTTCATTGGCAAGAGCAGCAGCGAGTGTGTGTGCTGCTGTCCCGCTTTCCYGCTCCTTGCTGAAATGGCTTTTCAAAATAAACAACTGTCTAAACGATTTGCTTTGGCAAGAGGATGAATTCAGTGGAAAGTTTGGCAGAGGAAGGGGAGCTGGCACTGAGCTCGTGGACCTGTTATATCTTGGAGCTTGGGGGCCCTTATGGTGTGGAAATGAATTTTTTAATGAAAAAAAGAGATACCATCCTGTACTGCAGTGGAAAACCAGCTGAAACGMGGTTTTCCATCTTACTTTGCCCATGTCATCTGTCCCCAAATGACTTCAAGGAATAGGCAAGCTTCAGCTCTTGTTCCATGCTATTTCAGCATATTGGATAATTCTGAAAAAAATTGTGCTCCTATAATGGTTTAGCTGTAGGTTTCATAACTGTGCACAAAAGCAGGTATTGTGGGATGGAGGATCTGCCCYGGGAGCAGTTAAGTGATTTCTGCAGGGTTACACAAAAACCATGGCAGAGGCCGGAGGAGAGTGGTGGGGCTTCAGRCCTTCTAGGTCTGTGCCCTGCTGCTCTGCCTCTTGTGTGCACAGTGTGGTTAGCTGCAGGGAACCTGCCCCCAGCAGCAAACTGCCCTTCGTGCCAGCACCATGTGAAAAAGAGAAGTAATAGAAGGAGAGCTAGTAATATAAACAGAATAGAAAGAGAAGAAGTAATAAAAACAAAGGGGTCTGTTGGAGTTTAAATTGGGAAAGGACATGGCTTTTTTTGCAACAGTACCTTGAACTGATGTGGTGCCCTACAGATGCGAATGACTGAGTTCTTTCCATTTTTTTCATCAGATAAGTGGAGTAACATAGTCTGTTCTTTAACAAGTGGAGAAAGTGAGATCAAGAAACATGGGTTCCCAAGCCATGCCATGGGCAGAGCTGGCAGCTGAAGTTAGATTTCCTGACTTCCCTCCCTCTGCTTGATCAGCTTTTTCTGGAGGGGGTAGGCAAAGAATTAAAATGCTTTCTTCAGTGAAGATTTTTCATTTATAGCTGGTTTTGTACTTTCAGCTCACTTTTAGCTTTTAGATTTTTGCTTTGTACCTTCCAGTGGTTTACAGTGACAGACCACCTTTGGTGTAGGAGGCACCAAAGCCAACTGTTCATAGAATCACAGAATCATAGAATGCCGAAGGTTGGAAGGGACCTCAGAGGTCATTGAGTCCAACCCCCCTGCTCACGCAGGGTCACCTAGAGCACGTGGCACAGGGCTGCATCCAAGCGGGTTTTAARGATCTCCAAAGAAGGAGACTCCACAACCTCTCTGGGCAGCCTGTTCCAGGGCTCTGTCACCCTCACGGTTAGGAAATGTTTCCTTAAGTTCCTGTGGAACTTTTGGTGCCTCAGCTTGTGGCCGTTTCCTCTAGTCCTGTCGCTGTCCACCACTGAAAAGAGGCCGGCCCCTCCTCCTCACTGCCTCCCTTGAGGTATTTATACACGCYGATCAGGTCCCCCCTCAGCCTCCTCTTCTCCAGGCTGAACAGRCCCAGCTCYCTCAGCCTTTGCTCATAGGGCAGATGTTCCAGGCCTCTGATCATCCTGGTAGCCCTGCGCTGGACTCTCTCCAGCAGCTCCACATCCCTCYTGTACTGGGGAGCCCAGAAMTGGACRCAGTAYTCCAGATGTGGCCTCACCAGGGCTGAGTAGAGGGGRACGRTCACYTCCCTCGACCTGCTGGAGMCGCTYTTCTTAATGCACCCCAGGATCCCGTTGGCCTTCTTGGCCACCAGGGCACACTGCTGCCTCATGGTCATCTTGTCATCCACCAYGAYGCCCAGGTCCCTCTCTGCAGAGCTGCTCTCCAGAAGGTCAGTCCCCAGCCTGTACTGGTGCCTGGGGTTATTCCTCCCCAAGYGCAGGACCCTGCACTTGCCCTGTTCTCAGGATGGATCCTCCTTGCTGCTGCTCAGAKTCCTCAATTTGTGTTCACAAGCGCCTCTGGGAGGCTCCCAGGGAGCTGGGCCTTTCCAGCACAGCGGTGCTGTTACTCCTCATAGCGGAAGTGGGGACGCAATGGCAAAAGCACTTCTGCCTGTATGAAAAGAAATTACTGGTAGCTGGGTAATATGTGAAGTGCAGCGTATGGGCAGACAACGCCACCCACTGACAGTGGAAAGTTCTGGGTGCTCCTGAGGTCTAATCCTGACATAGGACCTATGAAGCAAAGACTCCTAACACTTCTGTTGCCAGCCGGCCCTCTTCCACAAGGACTCAGAAACACCTAYGGGCTTTTGTGGGCTCAAAACACCTCCGTTTCTGTGTGCAGCAACTCTTACTTTTGCTGTGCACAGGACAGCGTGGGCTTGAGGAACCTTAGGAGCAGGAGATACTTACCACAAAGTGGCAAACACAATAGCTATCTCCTTGGGGAGCTTCTGAATTTAGGGTTTCATGAGAGATAGACCAGTCTTCCTTCTGGCTGGTACTTCATTATGACTCTTAATTTTTGACTGTTTTCAATTCCCAGCAAAACACAGGACCAAGATAAGTGGGAAGAGACTCCAGGTAATGCATCTTCTGTGCACGATCCTGAGCTCTGGGGGCTCCGTGCAGTTAGGAGTGGCAGTGCCTGTGTGCTGCAGAAATCTTTCTCCATCACTCTCCTTCCCTGACCAGCTGGTCTGCTGGAGCAGGCAAGCCAAGAAAAAACAGCATGTGGAGATACATTATCACCCTCTGTGGCTTTGGCAGCCTGTATTCCCACTGCTGAAGGGCTAGTGACAGTCAGTGTGAATTACTGTGGAACTGCTGCAGTTTTCTTATGTTTAAGCATATTGTATGCATACATGTAAGTATCAGTTTGGGGAGAGATAGAGAATTAGGGAGAAAGAGTGTGTGCATATTCCTGTGTGTGCATCGTCCGAGGCTTGACAGGAAAGAAAACAGCACGAAGAAGAAACTATTGCTGTTTTCATAGYCTGGACTCCCTCCATGACTTGCTGCTGCTTTAGTGCTTCCTTCAGCTCCTGCCATGTTTGGTAGCTCAAAGCAACTTGCACTTCTTCCAACACTTTTTTTTTTCCAGATACTTCGAGTTTCTTTGTTTGTTTCTGGCTGAGAACACAACCTTTTTAAAGAAGGAGGGGAAAAAAAAAGCTATTGCTTCAAACTGCTCTGTGGGCCTGGCAAGGAAAGCAGAGGAGGGGAGATGCTGAATGTCTCAGGCTATGCCAGAAGGAAGCTGTTTTCCTTGGAGAATTCTTCCCCCTGCAGTTTACTGGGACACACTGTTTATGCTTTACCTGGTACAGGGCCAAAGGGGTTTATAAGACCTGCTCCCAGATTCATTTTCTCCTTGGAAGCTGACCCTGAATTGTTCTAAGTATCGTTTCCATTCTGCAAGAGCACCCACCCAWGGAAAGGAAAACTGGGCTGTGTTAGTGCTGTAGTTAGAAAATTGCATTAGTTGAATACACACAATTTGATGGCAGTCTATACCTTGGGTTTGTTTTAGTGACTGCTTTGTTTTCAGGGATTTTTTAGGGATGTTTTAGGGATGTTCTTAGGGATATTCTGCTTGTCAGTGGCGGTGTGTGCAAGTGCTGGCAGAGTGTGCTTGGGCAGTTCTGCATGAGGGCACCAATGCTGTGAGGAATATATTTCTAGTGCTGCCTGATGTGACAGAGGTGTGTGAGGTGAATGAGGCTGGACAGGTTGTTGGATGTATATAGGAGTTACGGATATGTGCATATATGGTGCTGAAAGACTATATACACGTGTACTTGAGGCATTTCAGTGAGTACTGAGGGATATTTGTGAGTGTGTGAGAGCAAAGGAGAGTATGAGTACTGATGTCCAACAGCCAGGGTTTGCTGTGATTTCACCATATCCAGATCAGGACTGCCCTGTGACTGAAGTCCTGCCAGTTGGCTGCCTCCACACGTATCCTGCAGCCTCAACATTTGCCTTTTAAAATAAAGACCATTTGTGATGTATGCACTCTCTTTTAAGTCTGCCYGGGAGCCCTGGCTGCTTTCCTTGCCCCTCTCTCATGCCATGTCTGTCCATAATTTCCTCTCTCTCACAGGCAACACCCTGACTCAGAGGACTTCAGAGAGATGGATGACATAGCAAAACCTCCTGAGAGGATGGGCTGTCACACTATGTCAAAAGCTCTCTAACTCCAATCCTTCTAGCAATGGATTTCAGGAGACAGAGAAGAGCAAAGAGGAGGGCGGAAGGGGAAACGATGAGCTAAAATTACCTGTTTAGTAGTTTGTTTTCTGCCAGCTAGCTCCCTGGATATATTGTTTTTCCTGACCCTGCTGTCCCACATTTGCTGCTGAGGTGTGGCCAGCATTGTCCTCTGAAGTCTCTCTGTCATCCTCAGGCACTGGACAAGTATTTTTTCTGGCATCAGTAGATACTAGTGTTTTCCAACTCTGTGTTGCACAAAGGATACCCAGGAGAGCAGATTATTTAGAGAGGGAGGCATTTGTCTTAAGTGAGTGGCCAGGGAGGAGTTTTTACTCATCCYACAAATGCAGAGAGAGGTTCAAGTTACATGTGTGGTTACTCATAGGGTTTTCTTGCTGCCTTCCTAGATGGCCTGCCTAATTCTTGCTGTTATGTTTTCTGTCCCCCAACAGTATTCCAAGGCATTGAAGCATTTTGGAGAGAGCGAGGGCAAGATGCAGCCAGATGAATTTTTTGGTATCTTCGACACTTTCTTACAGTCATTTGCAGAGGCCAAGCAAGACCTGGAGAATATGAGGAAGAAGAAAGAAGAGGAGGAGCGCAGGGCACGCATGGAGGCCATGGTGAGAACCCCCACACAGGAAGGGCCTTCATTTCATCATCTTTGTGTGTCTCAAGAGAAGGATTGAGAGAGCGAGTTCTAGCACTCATGTCCTATTCTGGGTGTTTCATATTATTCTCCTTGCCACCTCACTTGCTCCTCCTACTCTAGATGATGATGTTTTCCTGCTAGTTGCCTTTTCAGACCTCAAAGGCATGCTGTTTGCCTCCCAAACTACCTCCTTTGTGTCTAGGTACCCAACTCTGGCCTTGTCTTTTCTGCCCTGTCACTCTGCAAGATGGTGCCACCCCTGCCCAGGGCCAGACTCTCCTCCTTTCAGGCTGCAGGCTCTGCACAAAAGCTCTTGGAGCCAGATTTTCCTCGGAACTGGCAGCTGGTCATCTTCCACTTAGACTCTGTCGTCATCTGCTCTGTGCCTGTCATCTGACAGCATATGGTGACACTGTGAATGCCCTGGCGCCTGCTTCAACTTACACTAGCAATATTTCTCTCTGGATGGCCTGAATGCCTTGATTCTTGAGTCTGCTTTTATCCTTGACGTGGTGAGAGAGCTTGTGTGTATCATTGATTTTGCTGCTGGGAGGCTGATGTGGGTATCCCCAGGGATTCGTGTGAACCGGCTTCCCACTCTGACCTCCGGCTTTCCTGAGGCCTGAGAACTGCTCAACATTCCTCTGCATCCTTCCACTCTGCCAGCACGTTAACCCCAGCAGCCACCACAGCCCCAGCCTATGCTTAAGGGAACTGCTGCTTTAAATATTGGTTATTTCTAAAGCAGCCTGTTCTGCGCTGTCCAGAAGAAGAGACAGGTTAAACTCTAGGATGGCAGCAAGGTTCTTGGAACTGTTGGAGAGAGATAAAATGCCAGGACTTAGGCTCAGTTTCTTATCAGCTAGCCTAGAAAGTACAGGAGTCCACTATAAAATTACTGAGATGATTTGGCAAGCCTGATGCATCAAGATAGGGGTTGCAGTTCGCTTATGGAAAAATTCTTCCTGCAGCCTGGGGCTAAGGCACAGAATAAGCAACCTGCCTTTCAGAAATCTTGTTTGTGCCTTGGTATCTCAACTAATCACAAGTCTGACCAGTGTGGGAGATAACCGAGCTCCCTGGTGCTGCAAGAGCGGCACACTGACAGATGGACCTATTTGATGATTTGTAAAATCAGTGGTTCTGCTCCCTTCCCAGGCTGGTTTCTTTCTGCCCACGTGACACCAACAGTGCATTTGAACTGTTTCATTACTCTTTCTGCTTATAGTCACTTTCTTTTTCTGAATTCAAGACAGCTTTCCTTTCTGTTCTCATCACTGCGAGATGCTGCCTCCATCTAAACAGCTGTTTGGTGGACAGAGCTGTTTGGTGGACACAGTTTGTTGATATTTTGATTTCTCATACACTTTTCATTCTCCATTTTGTTCAACTCACAGTCTCTATTACATCTGTCAGAATTTTTTTCTTCTTTCTGTTCTTCTTTTTGCTGCATTGTGACTTTTCTGCCTGTCTGAATATAGCTACTTCTGGCCTAAGTGGACAGCTGGTTGTGTCTATACTTGTGACTGTGGTTTGTGTAGATGCATTCACGCTAACTATAAACTCACTAGGTTAGGTACTGTTCACACAGTACTTGCTGACGCACAAAGGCTGTTGCAAGCCTGGCCCTGGGAGCTGGGTGAGCCAGCATCATTTGCAGAGTATCACTTTGTCACGGTTATTTTGCTGGCACTAGACTGCTGTATAATTTATGCAAAATATCTGCAGCATAGACAGATTTTATGCATAATCCTTTGGATATAGTGCATTGTGAGGCAGACACGAGGCACTGCTCATTCTTCGTTTCTCCTGCTCTCAGCTTCCCTGTGCAGAAAAGGGGAAAGCCAGCAGGGCTGTAAAGTGGCCTTGTCATGGGTGATGGCCTTGTAGGTAAACTCCTGATCACCTTTCTCCTAAACTATACTGATACACCAGTCTGCTCCTTGAGTATCTCTAGTAACCTAGTGTCCTGTTTAGCTAATTCTGAAGTTCTGTGTCTTTCTCCACAGCTAAAAGAGCAGAGGGAAAAAGAGAGGCGGCAAAAGAAAGCACAAGCAGGAAGTATCTCCGAGGAGAGTGGGGAGTTTGATGACCTGGTATCGGCATTAAGGTCAGGTGAAGTCTTTGACAAAGACTTATCCAAGCTCAAGCGCAACCGCAAACGTTCGGGCAACCAGGGCTTGGAGACAAGCCGGGAGCGGGTGGTGACAAAGCTAAATTATTAATTAGAAGAGGAAGAAAAATAATCAACCAAAAGAAGATGATGAAAAAAAAAGTGCAAAACAAGGAAGATGAATGTGTGCAATGGCGCCTGGCTGATAGCTGCCTCAAAGGAGGATTTCTTTGGCCTGCCTATGATCAGCTTTCTTCTCATCCCTCCTCAGTGCTCCTAATTTGAACCATTATAAAAGTGCCTCTATGGAGCCAGCAGGGTTTGTGACTCGGCCATTCAGAGCTAACAGACTTGCTTCTGGGAGTTTTCTGTGTCATCAAAGGCCTTGTGGTGATGACAGAAAGTACTTGGGCCTTGCAGACTGCCTTGCAGCTGGAGAAAGATAATTTTCTGTGTGCCAAAGTGAAAACTAACTATGTTCTCCATCTTGCTGATAAAAAGGAAGATATTAATTTCAGAGCAGCTCTGTAAAGACACCTGTTGCTTCTTCAAAATCTACGCTGGCCTCAGGGGGATTTGTCAAGAAGTGGTTCTTGGTGTTCCCAGTTCCCTTCCAGGACTGGATTTTACAGCAACCCATCAATTAGAATCTGAAAAATGCTTTTGATCTTCTGTGCTTTATAATAGTTTAATGTGGCCTATATTGTCCACAGTGATGGTCAGAAGGAAGAAATCGGGAACAAATTGGAATTCAAGAATCATGATCAACATAACATACTTTGCAAAAGTATTTTGAATTCTGCTTTTATAGAAGCCATTTTCTGGAATTTATTGATGATTGAGCCTCACAGCTAAGAAATGAGTCTCCTAGGAAAGGAGCTCTGGCTTGTAGTTCAGAAAAGTGAGCCACAGCCTGTTTGGGGTTAGGAACAGATGCCTGCGTAGCCTGTTGTCATTGCTTGAGGGTGAGAGGGAAACAGCCAAACATTTCTTACCTGTTTGGGCAACATTTTTTACATAGCCCAATGGAAACTGAGAGTTCCCTGGCGTTATTCACAGGTTACAAGCAGTGAAAATCAAATGGGATCCTTGGATACAAGAAAAGATTTTTGTCCTTCTCCCATTGCTCGCTGTGATTGTTGTTGGGATGGAGTTTCCATCTAACTGGCTTTGCTGCACACACCCGGCTCCTACCCGGGAGAACCATGTAACTCAGAAAGATATGAATGGTGTCAAAGTAGAGCCTTGGAGCCCACACTCTTTTCCCATTTTTAAAGAGATTACTCAGGATAAATAAASGGAAGAACCCATATGCAAAACTGGGATTTTTTCAGGAAGACACAATTCTGTGAGCTGAGCAGGCTTTGGAGATGAGTTAACTCATAGGGAAAAAAAATTTTATTTAAACTACACATATGAAGCACAGCCAAAAAGCAAGGAACCACAAGAAGATGTCTTTTACTCCCGAATTCTGTGTACCTTCATGGCTTTAGGAAAGCGTGGGGATTGTGTGGGTAGTCATGAACCTTTTAAAAAAAAAAAAAATCTTGTCTACCTTTTTGATTATCCTCCCCAGAGAGGGGAAAGAAAGAAATGACGATAGATTCTTCCTCCTAAGCAAGAAGAAGAGACAACTTTTGAGAGAGGGGCGCACCTCTCACTAGATGTGCAAACTGTGCATCAACAGTCAACAGCACAAAATGTCAGGGAATCCCAGGGAAGAGGGGAAAAAAAAAAGCTCCAAGCTCCATTTGTCACTTTAACCATTAAGTTTGTTTTTTTTCCTYGACTGTCATTCAGCATGAGGTTCTGCACTGAGTATGCAGAACAGAACTTCCTCTTCCATGCACACTGCCTGATCAGTATTACTTGCGACCGATACTGGGGAAGCAAACTGTGGTGGTTTTCTGAACACTAAGAGTAAAATAATTTTGTAAACTATGGGAAAAAGCAAAATAAGTCATAATTGTTAAACTCTAATGTTTCATGGTTTATTGAATTTTGAGTCTCCTTCCCCAGCATTTCCCTATTTACGACATTCCAGACTGCCGCACCCCTGTATAATACTCATCGTAAAGAGCTGGTATCTTACAAGAGCTGGATGCATTCTCCTCCCTTACAATCCCACTCCCTTTCTGGGATTAGCAATTAACAGCAATGCACRCTGTAGTGGACACAAGCACCTTTTAGAAGAAAGACTGTATTTCATAAAGGTTTTTGAAAATTTAAGAAGAAAAAAAGCAACCCTCGCTTTTTAAGCATTTCTATTTTAAATTACAAAGTGGATTTTTAGAAATGTTTCTTGTAAATTATATTAACGAGCTCCTTGCTGCTCCCTGAAGTAGACATGCTATATCCCAGCCCGTTGTGTTTGTCTTGTTTTAAAGCATGCCATATAACCTATGCCATGTAGGCTGTATGAGAGGTGGTAATATGTGCCAAATTGGTATACAGTTGAATTTAGATTTGGATAATCTCTGAATTCCAAAGATGATGTTTTTGAGAATTAGAACACTGTAGTATTTTCCCTCAGTCTTTGCTCTGGTTTTAGGACTTGATTAGAARTTCAAGTGCAGTGCCAAGGTCAGCCCTGGTGCAAGATGTGACTCATCCAGCTTACAGCTGCTTGCTTCCCAGGTACTTGTTGGATAAGGCAGACTGTCAGCATGGCAGTGCTGTCAGAAGGAACAGCTCAGGGCAAAACCTTTGAAGATAAATACAGCATTCTCCCCACCTGGTCAAACCAGGTCTGTGCTGTGCTTTTGGAAACTGAAGCCACTTTGCCAGGCCACAAATGTAGCAAAAGCAGGGAGAGGATGTGATAAGACATCTGTCCATTTGTGTACACAGTCCAACGCTGGTTTAGATATTCTGTATTGTGGTACGTGGTACTCCAGCAATGCAGAGAGATTCAAAGAAAGCTGCTTTAGTTTTGCCACCTCCCTGACTCAGACACAAAGAATAAGAGATTGTACCACTGCTATAAATCAGTTGTGGGATACATCGTATTACAGGGACTGACAGAAAGTCGGGAGTGATGCCCCRGTTCACAGCAACTCAACTTTCTTAGCACTATGGAGCCCTAGACTTCTGTATACAGTCTCTGCTGGTGACTGAAAGCTTCTTTCCACATGCTAAGTAGTCTCCCTCAGCTGCTGACTCCGTGATAAACATTCAATAAGGGGGTTTTGGAGAAGTTTGGTTGAATACTGAGGCAACTAAGGGTTCTTATAAGRGGTGACAAGACTCATTAACATGTCTACCATGTGAGAGAAGATAAGGAAAGATAAAACAGAAGAAAAGGAAAAAGTTGGCTGTGCATTACGGCCTGGCTTCAGATCTTTGCTGAAGCTGCATKTGTCTTTGCATCTAATCACTGCGAGTGCCCCTGTGCTCTCTTTTCATACGCTGATGCAGATGAGAAAATCATATTGAGCATCCTCTGGTGCTAGCAGAGCCCCAGCAGGTACAGCAAGCTGCCATGAGGCAAAACACTGAGTAACACTCAAGCTCTCAAAGCCAGAGAAAAACAAAGATCTGATTTGTCCTTACAGCTGTGTCAAGGACCAGCATTTTAAATAAAACTGCTCTCACTTTGGGAATAAGGAGCAAAATGTGGGAGGGAGTAATATCATCCAGGACTTACCGCTTTACACTTCCTACAGAAATGCAGGCAACACTAGCTTTTTGACAGAGCCCCTCACAGCAAGAGAGGGAAGTATATTTTTACTCTCCAAACATTGTTCCCATTGGTCTAGTCCTCCCTCACCTGTGTGTCTCTGTATTGTTCTTAAGAAGGTTGCATTGGGTGGACCGAGGACTTGCTTCCCTCCCTCCCTGTCTAACTGCCTTTGGTCTGAGTTGCTCTTCTCAACCCTCAGGAAACGACTCTCTGGAGCTGTCAACTCAACTCTCTGTCAGTCACAACTCTCTGGAAACGCTACGTAGTGAAGTCACTTCAGGGCATCACGGTCACTCCCTGCCCTGTAGCACACCTATAGTCCGGGCATCAGTTCCCTACAAAGGCAGAAGCAGGACTAATGTTGAGGGATGAGAGACTTCCCAACAGAGAGACAATTTGGGTGTCCTTCAGAAGCATTTCTGTAATGTGGTCACAATGTCCGAGGAAGGGAAAGGAATTGTGAGGGGCCCTGTCGGAAGGCTGTGGGGCAGGTGTTTCCACAATGGCCATCCCCACTGGCTGAATCTTTCCTCTTTTTTTTTTGTTTTAGGAAAGCTCRTATTTTGAACATAGGAGAAGCTTGTGTCAGAGTTTCTGTGAGGGGAATGGAGATCAGTTGTACAGTTGATGATGTACATGATGTATGCAGTTTTGTTTCTGGGTTGGTTGTTTTTGTTTTTTGTTGGGGGTTAAATGTTTTTTGTTTCTTTGTTCTTAAAAAAAAAAAAAAAAAGGTTTTAGGAATCTCTAATGGGAACCTGTAAATCTGACACCTCTATTTATTTTGCCTTATTTTAGTTTGCTATGTTTGTATGTATACACTGCATTACAGCAAAGACTATTGAGACCGTGCCAGGGCATTACACCAGCTGGACATCTGGCTTGGTTATTCTGCAGCAAACTGAGCTAGGTGAGGGGCTGTGAGCTGTGCTGACGTGGTGAAGGATGAAGGAAAACCTTTCCTTTGCCTTTCTTCGTACCACTCTGCCCCTAATGATAGTGAGCCTGGGAAAGTGAGCGTTCTAAAGCATGTGCTGAACTTACATGCATGTGGTGGATGAGAGATCAGTTATTTTAGAGTACTTTCTTCTTTTTTTAAAAAGAAAAACCCTTTTTATTTTCTCATCATGAATTATGGTGGGAAGACTGAAAAGTGATGAATGGCACAGCTGTTCACTCAGGCTTCAMCTTTCATCCCAAATTCTTGCCATGATACCAAAGAAACTTTGATAGATGTACAAAAGCCCTGTACTGCCCTGTAACTTCTCACCAGAGTTAACATTTTGGTGAAASAAACTGAGACAGTTCTCTCAGAGTTCCTTCCTATTTCCAAATACAAGAAATGAAGATTTCCTTTCCTTCCCCTCTTTCATTCTTTACCCCTCCATAAGTTTCTCTTTTGTACCCAAATATGCCGCACTGTTTTCTTACTGAAAGTTTAGGTTCTTTGGGTTTCGCTCAGTGCTGCTGCTTGTTAGCTTTAACCAATGACTGATGCCAAAGGGACACTAAATTTTCATTCAGCTTCCAGCCATTAACAGGAGGATCAACAAGATCTTTCTGCWGATCTGCTAGAGACTCCATGAGTAAAAAGCCACCCCTAGGTGTTTGGCCATTGCTTCTCRGCTTCTGTCCTGGACATGGGAGATTTCTGGTCATCTGTCTTCCAGGTAGCCCAACTAGCCACCTTAGATTCTGTTATCAAAGCAAGGTAGATTGAAGAGGCCATCATTAACACAACTAGGTCAAGTGAAAACATAGACTTTATATATATATATATATTTAAAGCTATCTGCTACTAGTAGTAGTTTTGATGATGAGAATCCCCTGAAGTTGGCTAGAATTTGCTCACTGTACCTGCTGAGAAGGATGTCATTAGTCCATAAAGGGGCTGTGGCATCACTTTTCAAGAAAGAGTCTGAGCACTCAAAAGATTTTTTCAAACAGTCTTCTCCATTACTGCTGTTAATGAGAATAGTTCCCATGTAGCCAGTACAGGTTGCCCTGGGTTTACACCAGCACAGTTTGTAGTAGCATCTGGATCGGAACTCCCCTGTTGACAGTTTTGGCTGTTTATAAGATGCTCTGCAGGGCTCCTGAAGGGCATGATGAAGGGTTCTCCACCAGCAGGAGCTCTCACCCAGCTGATCTGGAAAAGACTCCATAACAAGTCATTCACCTTCCTTCACATCTACCTTTAAAATGGCTCCTTAAAAACCTTTGCAATTTTAAGAATTGTAAGAGGATGTCAGGTACCTGAGCTACTCTACACTTGCACTTCTCACTTCCAAACCACCTCCATCTCCAGCCGTTCTCCTCCCTGCAAGCCTGCTCAGCTTGGAACTCGCAGGTCACTTTGGGACGTGCTCCTGCCTGCCAAGCTACAAAGTCCAGTGCTGCTTACCAAAGTGGGAGGTTGTGTGCTGCTGTAATGCCTTGGCGTATCCTCATTTCTTAGTCAGTTTAARACTATARGTGAATTAAATGTACAAATCCTGTAGTGTCCTTTTTATCCATATCTTTTTATAAGAATATACTGTAATACTAAAAAAAAAAAAAAAAAGAAAAAAAATTAAAGATATAT